GGAATGCTTCCTGGTCTAAGTATCAAGAATAGTTTATACTTACACTGAACAGCTGGACAATTTTTATTTTATTGATACTAAGACTCATGTAATCAATCTCTTTTCTCTCTCTAAGACTTAATAGAAAACAGTCTTGCAAGAAGGCAGGATTTAATGATTAGCATTCTGCATTTTTCATACAAAGCCTAATTGAAACTTAATTTTTTTATTTTTCATCCTTCTTACTATGATGTTATTACATATTCTTTCAATTTAATTGTATCTATAATTGTGTGCTTTCAAAAGTTGTCGTTTATTCCCCTTAGAATAAGGCAGGATATAAATAAATTATATTATCTATAGCATTTACTGATTTTGGTTCCCTACTTTCTTCCTAACATCAAGAATAGTTTTTTGCTGGAGTTTTGATTACACGTTCTTAGGGGATCTTACTGAATTTGTAGATATTTGATCTAGAGAAAAGAAAAACACAGATATATACCCATGGCATTTTGTAGACAAATTTAGTGAACTTATATATAGGACTCCAGGAAATCCTCTACCAAAGTTGTTATTTTTTATTTCTTGGCAGGTTTTTTTCTATAAGATGGCAATATCTAATCACTTGAACTATTCTTTGTATACTTAGTTATGTCCACTAGCAGCCTGTTTTTAATAATACTAGCTTGCTATGTCTAGGTCTTATGGTTTGTTAAGTACAAATAATAAAAATCAAGAGGATTACAATTATAGCAGAAGATATCAATGTTGTTGAAAAGAATAAAAAATGTTTTATAAAGTAATGACCCCAGAGTAGTGTTTCCACAATGTCATTTGAAATATTTGTTGAGTGTCAGTATTACTTAAACTGTTATAAAACAGAATAGGAAATTTAATAAAAGTTGTCATAAATTACCAGAGTAACTAAATATTCCTTAAACTGTATTGATGGCACAATGGTAATTATAACAAAGGAAAAATGTTTGACTCAAACCATTTAGTTAAGTGCCATCTGTTCAGAAGATACACAAGTATAGTTTCAGTATTTTCACTGAAAATTTATTTTAGAAGTAATTCTTATTCTCTGTGTACATTATTATGTTTTAATAGAAGTTTTATATTAAAATGAACAAATGTGCAATATAGTACTTTCTGGTCAGAATAAAATAATGTTATGACAAATAGCTTTGTAATTTTATAATTAACTGAATATTTTACTTGAGTGAAGTAAAAATAAATAACACTTTATTGTGTCATATTTCACATTTGGTACCATTTTATTTTCTGTGTGTGTATGATTTTTAAAGGAAACTTTTTGCTCAGATAATGTCCTTTAAAAGAACAAAATTTTGTCCTTTTGAAGTCACAACTGTGCACGCACACATACATTACCCACACACACACGCAGGTGAAATTTTATTTAAGAATAATAACTTCAAGAAGGCACTATAGCCTGAATAGAGTTCAGAACTATTTCTATACCTTTTCATTTATTAGTTATCTGGATATCTATTGCTTGGATACATATTGTTATTGTTAGTATATAAAGTAGTAGTTTTTCAACTTTAGCTCACAAATTAGCAGAGAGTATTAGCAGAGAGAATGCAACCACAGAGATTCTGATAGTGTAAGTTTCAGGTGGGGCCTAGAAATTGAAATTTTAAACAAGCATCCTAGAGGAGTCTGATATATAAGTAGTTTACATTTTGAGAAACACTCTCCCAAACAGGATACAGTAAGGTAAGCAGTTTTCATAAGTTCTTTTTCAGTTTTAGTAATATTTACTGATCAGTTATTATGTATCAGTCACTTTTTTTGGGAAACATTATCAAAGGTTTTATTATTATAGACCAGTACTATGTGAATTAAGGATAGTTTATTATAAAGTAAGGTAGCTACAGTTAGCTAGCATTTTGTTCCTCATAAAAAATGATAGTTGGAAAAAAGTCAGTAGCTAAGGAAAGACTACAGGTTTTTAGGAACTGGAAACTATTAAAGTGTAGATTATATAAATTTCACTTGCACCTGTCATGAGATATTAACAATATTAGGATAAAATATATATCTTTGATTCCTTTCTAGCCAATCAACATACAATATATTCAGTATACAGTATATTACGTAAGGTTATGTTTATTATTGATGGTTGATACATATATATCCTATATGTTTCTTAGTACTACAATCTATGTCTAATATAGCCAAACACTCATTTGAACATAAACATTTTTAAAACATTTTTATTAAATTAAAATTTGTGCATTTTGCATCTATTATCAGTATTGTTTATGCATAACTGTCTGAGTGGAATGCAGTTCCCCATAACTTTATTATCTTTTCTTGTACCTTTTCCTTTTTTTCTCGCACAAATTTATTAATGTTAAAGTGGATTTGTTCATTTTTTCCCTCAAATTTTATTGATTTATCAATCACTTAACTATATATCCTTTTCATCTTGAAAAATTCGTTAGTATACTTTGGTAGTGTGCTTAATATCTCTCAGAAATATATGACATACTACTTTCACAGAAGCAGGGTGAGGAAAATAAACTCAGTCATAGACAGTCTCAGCTGTCTTCCTTTATCTTACTTGGTGCTTCAGGGTTTGGTAATGGTAGAGAGCTTATACTGGTGGCAGTAACAGGAATGACAGCACTTTTTACCACTTGCTAGTAAGTACATCACTGTCATGCTTTTAGAAGTTTGTTAAAAAAAAAATGTGTGACTAGAGGCCTGGAGATAGTTAGGATTATTTTCACTTATGAACAAAAGGAGAAATGTGAATGTGTTTAAGTTTGATCAACTCTTTTTCCCTTGTAAAATAGGTATTATTTTAAAAGGTCATATCTTTCATTTTTCAATTGTTTCTGCAACTTAACACTCTTCTAGTACTGGCCTGTGAATTTTTGTGGTGGTCTAATATTTTACTTCTTAAGATGTACTATGTGCTCTGATATTACTATCTGTCTAGTCTGATCAGCTGGCTTTAAAAAAAAAAGCCTTTGTTTTGAATGTTTTTTAGAGAAAGTACATCTTCAAACTAGTTTTATTCTGTAAATGCTAGCTGACAGTTCTCTTCTCTTTGTAGCTCCCTAATTGGGGAACACAGATCTTTTTCTTGCTTTACCTAGGTTTTATTATCACTATATTTTTCTCTTTTATAATATGATCTGAGCTCCTTTGCCCCCTAACATTTATTAGTCAATTTATGTTTAACTTTGCGTTCACCGCAGTCTCATAGGGGCTTGCTGTTAGGAGTATGTACTAATATCTGCCTTTGATAGGTAAAGAAAATAGTCTGCAAAAGTTTCCTTTACTTTCAAAAAATTTCTCATCTTATTTAGTGAAAACATGCTTTTTAAACTAAATCCTTTGGCATGCTTATAGATGAAGTTTAAAAATTAATAAGGGTTTTCTCTTAATATGAAAATTGTAAAAATGGTCTAATTTTTATTAAGGTTACAAAACTCAATGTTAAAATTTTAATTCATGCTCAGGAGTCCAAATATAAAGTTACTTGTTAAAAATCTGAAATGAATATATTAGGAGATATTCTGTGTCGAATATATTTATTAAATGAAAAATTTCTTAATATATTTATTATGTTTTAATTTCACTTTGGATTTCAAAAAGTTTTACTTGTACTACATTTTGTCAAGTTGAAGCATCTCTTTCACTCTATGAAAGAGTAGAAAATAAATAAGAAAATAAATAAGGCAGAAGGAAACTGCCTTTACCAAGATTTGACATTATCAGAAATAAATCACTGTTTAACTTACCATGTACCTCAGGGAATTCAAGCTGTTGCACAATACTCATTTCCCCCAAGGATTAGGGTATTCAGTAAACTGGATTGACTGAATCGCATCTGTTTATTTTAAAGTGATCTATTATTTAGTTGTTTCACATACATTTTTAATTTCGAAATGAGTGGCTGCTTGATTTAGGCATTATAGCACTTAAAAAACACGATACAAATTTGTCTAGTTAACTATTTGTAAGGTAGTAAAGTATTTGCCTACTTTAAGTAACTTACTGCATCTTTTCTGATACAGGGATATTAGCACTCACTCATAGTATACTACATTATAACAATGGGAAAATATTTGCTTGATATGATATTCCCAAACCTGATGTCTAATTAGAATTAATCTCATAGTTCTCAAACATGAAGGACTGGAGACAAAATTTTTAAGTGGTAGAGAGTAGAAAAGTTGGCAAGATTTATTGCTGCTTTAAAAAGATTTTCAGAGAGGAAATAAAACTACTGTATTTTGAAACACTTGCAGGCTACCAGAGTGTAAATTGTATTCTGCTAAAGTTGCTATAAATATCTAAAATTAGAAACAGTTGTCTTTGTTAGGTTTTCCCTACAATGATATAAAGTCATTTTTCTTGCATGTATTCAGATTTTAATAGTTAATTTCTATTATACATGAAGAACTGATTGGAATAAAGCTAGAAAGTCAGTTTATTTCATTGCATTGGTTTTTACAGTATACTGTATTCCCTCAGAGCATTTGGCTTCTAGTCAAGTAAAGTGAGGAAGGAAGACTGGTGATTTAATTTTCTTCCTTCACTTTATTGTCAGTTCATTTGCATATTATAGACATGGTGCCCTTGATCTTAGACAATAAGTCCATTTTTTTCATTATAAACTTGAATTTCAAAGTTTCCCTTAGTGTGCATATACAGGTTTTTTTTTTTTTTGCATCTTGACTTAAAATCTTGATAAATCCTATAATTTTCTATATTCAAAGTAAAAAAGGATGAAGTTTCAAACATAGCTACTTTTGATATATCCAGCATTATAGCAAATAGACTACACCAGAAAACAACAGTGGTACAAGAAATCCTGGATTGTTTTTGATTGTTTGGAGCCCATACTTTTAGTTTTTATGTTAAAATGCTATTCCAGTTGTTATCATATAAATATATCTATAGTTTGTTGCTTAGAAATAATACACTTTATAAAAAAATGCAAGGATATCTGTGTCAGTTACATTTTGAAGTTATACATTGTTTTAAGGCTATGTATTTATTCTTTAGAAAATATGACTTACATGAATTTCTTCTGCTGGACATAATATTGACAAAATATACACATGATATTACTTTAACAAACTGCCATGCAACAAATACATTAAGTAATGAAGAGATTGAATATATATGACCTAATCTAATTTTGACATTTACATTAAAAATTTACAACATAACCAATACTTAAATTGTTTTTCCCTTATATTTGGCAGTAATTTCATTTTTTTTACAATTTAAATTTAGAACTTCTGGATGTGGTTTTGGCAAAACTTAGACTTCCCTAGTCTGTGACAACCTGAGGTACTAAGCATTTTTCTCTTATTTCACTATCTTCAAATGTAATTTTTTTGTTTCTTTTAGGTTCTATCCAAGAGTTGTGTATTACAGCATTATTTGGCATGGGGTCAGCTTCCACTATTGAAACAACTCGCTTTTTCATTTTACTTTTCAAGACCTTTTGAAATTTCTGTCTAGTGAATGCATATAGTAGAGGATGAAAAATAGTTGTTCCATAAGCCATGACTAGAAAACACAACCTCAATTTTACTAAAAGGTCACTTGGGCCTAAACATAAAATGGTGGTATTTAAAACAGAAATTGGTGTCCAGCAGAGAAGAAATGTAGAAATTATCAATAGAGACATTCTGAAGACTCTTTTCTGCCTTTCTCGTCGTTCACGGTGTCGTTTCACAGCTCGCCGGAGAGCAATTATTACAGACACTGAAGTTCTTACACCAAAGACTACATTTCTCCCACCACTGCTTTGTGACATGTCTGTAGTCTCATGTTGCGTGGTTAGAGAAATTGTCTTTTTCTTTCTTGCTTTCTTCTTCGGCCCTGTTGAGAATCTCGTGCCTATTCGAATATTTAGAGCCTGAAGTATTTTGGTGTATGTGATTAACATTACTATAACAGTGAAAAAGAATATTGGGATCTGTACTAGCAGATGATAATACATTCCCAGTTCAGTGTAGTATTCATTTGTACTGACACACAAAAGCGTCTTGTTTTCCCATGTATTTCCACTTTGATGACTGAAAAAATTTACCTCAATAAAGGGAATCAAGAAAGAGAAAAAGGAAAAAATCCAAATGGATATCATTAACATTACAGCTCTGCCCATTGTCAGAATTCGGTTTGCAGGTTTTACAGAAATGTCATATCTGTCCAAAGTGATAGCAAAAACGTTGATTGCTGTTGAGACACTTGCAAAAGATACACAGGCCTCATGGAAACAGCAGATAAGAGCAGTGTTACTCTCCAGTGAAAGCAGAAGGATAACTATAGTTAGAGGAATACATCCCACACAAATTATTACATCTAGTACATGAAGATTCATTGTAATAATGTTACTGACAGAGTTGATTAAGTTGGATTTCATGCAGTAAAGAACCAATACGGTGAGGTTGCTGCCAAGTCCCAACACAATTTCTAACATAAGAAATCCAGTGAGAGACACTTGAAAGCTTAATGGATATGATAGTGGTTGGTGCATGTTGGTGTTGATGTCATCAATGTCATCTCGCACTGTAATGTTAGATTCAGACTGCATGTTGATTTCCAGAATAGGAGAAAAACACATTCTTTTGGAGCAGTTGGTTTTTTCCCCTAGAAAGTGAAATAGAATAAACTCTTTGATATTTGGCAATTTAAATGATGTATCAAACATGTGTTCTTCAAAAATAATCTTTTATTGTGTTCTTAGTTCAATTATTATGTTTGTTAACTATTAATGAAAAATGTAGAATTAAGAATAATCAAGGTTGCATTGCTTTGATGTAAAGGGAAGTTGAGTTCTTTGCAGAAATTACTGGGAATGCAATTACTGCAAAAATATTTAATACACTGAAAAGGCTTTCCTCTTTTGGGTTTGTCAAGCTTATTGAGATGCAGTATTTTTTTTTTAATAATAAAACTAATCAGCATGAAAACTAATTTTAGCCAAATGTTTTAAAATTTCTTTTTAAAATGTTGTGAGTAGGTGGAAGTAAATGTTATTTTAATATGTTCTAGCATAATTAGTGTAGGTATATTTCCATGAGATTTCAAATGAACAGACAAGTGTTCATTTAAAACGATGACTGGTACAGAGCACTAGCTTGTCTTGGACCATTTTGTTCATGTTCTTGATTGAAATTCAATTCAGAAGGTAACAGTGTACGTGGGGATATTTGGAGTTATTTCTTACAGAAATGGGCAAATGATTTATATTTCACAATGAAAATGCTCACTGAATTTTATAATTGACAAACTGATGTTTTAAATATTGGAAGGAAAAGGACATTATGTTACCATGAAAAGCCACAAAGCTTGGTAAAAGAGCACTAATTACTCCTGTTAAAGATTTATTTTGTGACCACACCCTTTTGGATCTTGTGAAAGGAGAAAACCGAAATTTAATATTATATTAAGAAATAAGCCAAAAAGAAAAAGAAAAATACCGGATGGTCTCACTCATAGCAGGAATCTAGAAAACTTAAATAAGGGACCAGGAAAATGAATATAAGAAAGTGAAAATCAAAATCAACAAAAAACTATGAACCAGAGACACTTTTTGGGGGTGGGGGGCGGGAGGGGAAGGATTGGGGTCAGAATGGGGCGTTTGCAATTGTATGGGGGAATATAAAAATAAAATTTAATATTTAAAAAAAAAAAAAAAAAAGAAATAGCCATTTATGAAGTGGTATTGAAAGAGTGTATCAGTTGATTATATTTGTTTAAACATAGTTTTTAAAGTAAAAAGTGAAATTCTAGGGAAAAGGAGTATCTGAAACCCATTTTCTGAGAAATCTTTTTAAAGTTACACAATCCCTGTGAAACCTTTTGTATAAACCACTCAGTGTATATAATTTTGAGGAAAATTAATAAAAAACAAACTCTTGCTAATTCATGCAAATCTAAATTTTAATATATTGAGGCTTAAAATAATTTATAAAATAATGTCTGATTTTCTGGGCTAAAATGTCAGTAATCAGATATTTAGTAACCAGAAAATATAAAATCATACAACCAACTCTATTTCACATTTCAAGTACAGCATTTGACTGCAAAATCAGAATAAAGCATGAATATAAAAGCTAATGACTTTCAGAATTCATGTTAACCTTTCATTTGATGTATCTTTGACAAGTTTAGAGTACAGTTTTATTTATGGATATTGTTTTAGGGTTAATATTTCATAAACACAAATTATATAATTATTAATTTTTCTTGAACTTGGTAAAAGGTATTACTAGAGGCATATAATTGAGTAAGTTAAAGGCTTAGCTAATATCAAAATTCTGTAAAAATGGAAAATTTTAAGTGTGCCAAATTTTTTGAACTGACAGATAATGCATCAGGTCTTTGTAACATCAGTTAGACTTATTAAATAAAGCAAAAATGTCAAGTTAGATGATAATTACAAAAAATGCATCTTTAGAGCAAGATTCTTTTCTTTTGTATATGTTAAACCGTGTGGTGGGGTGCATGCATCTTCTGACCTACCTGTTTGCTGTTGCCTTATGGGCCTTTTGGCTCACTATAGCAGTTTTTCACAAATTGATACATGATGTCATTAACAGATTTGACATGAATTTTTACCTGACAACAGTGAAGTAGCTGTGTTTTATTTCATGTCTTGTAGGAATTCGTTCATTTTCTCTCCAATACTTCAACTGCATGAATTGTGAGATTTAGTTGGCTGATGGATTTGTAAAGACCAGTACAAAATATTTGTGTTTGTTTTGCCTTAAAAAGTCACGACCAAGAAAAACTTCCTCAAATGATAGAAATTATGTTTCCCTTTGATGGAATATATGAGTGTCTCTTTATTTTCCAGAACATGTGAAAACAAAAAAATAGAAAACATAAGTTTCTAGCTTCTAAAATGTATTTATACATCCTTTTGTTACAAATATAAATCTGTTTCTATAGCAGTCCTCATTATTTTGAAATGATTTCTTGATCACATAACTTGCTTTGTAAGTCCAGTCCATGTTCTTTTGATAAAGAACCACCTGCTATTTAATTTGGTTTGTTTCCATTAGAAGAGAATACATAATTGATCATAAAACTCAGATGGAAGAATCTTTTAATCATATCAATTGATATGAATATCTGAATATTTAGTGCAGAAAATACTTGCTAAAGTTTCATTTAGCTTGCCGGTAATGTATGTTTTTCTGCTTTTGGTAATCCATGTTTCACTGTCTTCAAGAATTAGTAGCTCCACAATTCTGGTATGATAAATTATAAACTCCCCCTTTTAAAATGCTCACCATTTTGTTTTCAGGCTTTTTTTTACAGTTGTATTTTTCTTTTGGGGCTATTTTATGTAGCGTCTTCTTAGCATAACTGCCATTGATTTGTTATATTCCAGCAGTGATGTCGATCTATATTCTTTGGTTTTAACTCCTTAATGTCTTAAAATCATCTGGTACAAGAATATCCTGCAGTTTGTGATTCAGACAGCTAGGGAGAGGCTTGGTCAGCTGCATTCTTCATATTTTCATTTGTAAATACTGAATTAGCTGTTGTGAGCCCTAGTGAAGAAGAAAAATAATGGTTAAGAAATAGAGTTCCAATAATTTTCAATTAACTGAAATCTACTTTAACACCATACACAATATTGCACTGTGTTATTAGTAACAACTTATGCATAAGTTTAAGGGTTTCTTTAAATGAAACATTCTCTTTTCCTAACAAACATATCCAAAACAAACATACATATGTTATTTAACAATAGAGAGAGCATCACATTACAGCTATAACCATAAAAGAAAAACTGCATTTTAAAAACTAAGTTCTGTTCTCATTTTAGAAGCTAATCTGTATTTTCAGAGATTATGAGCTGTTACTAAACATATTGTCATTCCTTCTTGTCTTCATAATAAATTTAACAATACTCTGCTATAAAATACATTTTTCACTTCATTATTAACACATGGTTCGAATGTTAACTGATTTGAACAGAATCCATGGTAGGATTTTACAAATTTCTGTTGCTGAATTGTTCATGTAGTTGAAATGTAAAAGATATAAAAACTGTAACTGTAAATTAAATAATTTTCAGGGAATATCCCCAATATAAATTTAATCTAAACCCGAATAATAATAAAAGCGAAATAGTAAACCTAGTTCTCTCAGGAAATAGAAGCATTTTTTGAACACCTGAGAAAAGCTGCTGATGACATTAACAATATTTAATATGTCTGAAGTGACTTAAAAACTGATGCCTTCATAGTGGATCTACAAAGAATATTCTTTTTACTTAGCATTACATTCTAAAAATTACATTTAAATATATCGTGTCTTAAAAGAAATAAATCTAAATAATACATAATAGTAAGTAGAATTAAACAAATAAACTTAAAATTTAGGCTGAAAAATTTCAAAGTAATTACCCCACTATGACAGTTCAAAAGCAGCTGTATACTATAATAAGGAACACATCTTACCTCCGCTAAAGATTTGATAAATTCTTGATGTAGTTGAAGCGTTTCCAGTTCTGATTGATTCATTTTGTTCACTTGTTTATAGAGGACTAGGGGAAGAGAGTCATAAACATCTCTTCGAAAATGACCTTAATGAAAATATATGTCTGTACTGTGCCATTGTTTCAGCAGTACTGCTAATGTATGGAACATGTAGTGCTGCTTAGAGCCTGCTGCAGTCTCTCACTCTTCCTACTGTGGAATCAATAAGCATCTGAAAATACATAATGAAAGTAATTTAACATACTGAAGGCTTCTTGTCTCCAGAGACAACATTTAGATCCAGTCTTTCTAAAAAGGAACGGCACTGCTTTTCAGAGGAAAGCTTGTTCTGGGCAGCTTTTGCAGAATGACAGCCTACCTTGTCGCTTCTCTCCACTGCAGAGAGATGCAGTGCATTCACTAATTTTGATTGGTCAGTTGTATTGGGCTTAAGCTGTGTTTCATATGTATAGCAGGAATTTTCCCCCACTGTTTTATATAAGGATGCTTTTTAAAAAGCTAAATTTATAAGTGGTTGTATGTTGTTCTTAAATAGAATATGAGTAAATTAGTCTTTTTAAAATGTGTATTCTATTCTGGTTTGTTGTTCATTTATGGCAAACATTAAAAATTGCAAGGAGGTGGGGGGGCAAGAAAGAATTACATAGTAAAATGTGTATGTATATTTTAAAGCCTGTATAATTGCTCTTGAGAATATTTTAGTCATATGTATGTTTTTGGTTGAGATTCTTTGTTCTACAAATAGGAAGTCTCTGCATCTTTACCGTGAACCACATTGAATTTCAACTAGTTTGTTTGTATTCAAGTCATCTTCTCTGAGTATTCCAAATTGTTATGAACATGTCAAGGTGTTAAACATTGTTATTACTGCAGTAGTCATTCATTCAGGTATTCATTCATTTTAATTCATTCATTCAAAATATTAATCAGATTGATCTACCGTAAAGTATTTTTTAAACATTTTATTGCTAATAGCAATTTTCCTGTGTAAAGATTTAATAATATGCATTACTTTTGAGATTACTGTTCAGTCTCACCGTTGATAACTCTTTTATTCAGTAAGTATAGTCATCATTTACCGCAATGTTTTGTTCAAGTGACTATTTTTATTTTTAACCTGAGCAATTTTCTT